GGCAGGAATCAAACCACAGCTTCTCTGTATGCAGTGGGTCCCTGAATGAATCTTGGTTGATTGTGTAACACAGTAGCTAGACAGGATAACAGGCTAACAAGTGGCAATTAACACCTACCAAACCACAGACTAAGGAGAGGATTAATACAGAGCCAGGAACTCCCTGAAACTTTACTGTTAAAGGTACAAAGGCCCTGGTTTGAACTAATCACAGCAGTGAATTATTCAAACTTTATCAACAGACTCCCAAGACTTATGTACCTGTGGATGTGACCCCTGGGGCTGACAGCTGCCATCCAGCAACCACCAAGGGGGACGTCCCACGAGGTCAATTACCCCTGGATTGGGTTAGCCCGAAAATTGGGGTGTCACCAAAGTCTGCCAGAGAGGGATAAAAGGCAGCAAAGAATGATCCCCCGATGGCGCCCTCTCTGACCTGACCAGCACCCTGCCTGCCCAGCCAGAAGGACCAGCCAGCAACCCCCTTCTGAAGCAACATCACACTGAAATAACCCTCGATTGGCCATCGACAGCAGACTCCAGCACTTGGGGATAGGTATATCTTGACATCGGTGCTTAGTGTTCATAGCTAGCTACTGTGAGTATGTGTGCATGAATGTGTGTGTCTGAGGGGATCAGCCCCAAGGTTTATGATCTGACTTTTGCATCCGTCTAATAAACTAGAATTCTATGATGATCCTGTGAGTTGGTCCTTTGTCGCCAACAGCTCTACCCCAAAGTTTAGTGTCATCAGCGAACCTGGCCAGTCCACTTCTGACACCAGTGTCCACATCGTTAATAAAGACATTAAAGAGAACAGGTCAAAGAATGGAGCCTTTAGGGACACCACTGGTCACAGAGTGCCATAATGATTCACTTACGTCAACTACCACTCTCTGGGTCCAGCCTCAGAGCCATCGGACTGTGATGTAGCTGAGGCCACAGTTGGTCAATTTTTCTATGAAGAGATCATGGGACACCAGATCAAAGGCTTTTTTAAAGCCTTAAATCAGGGGTGTCCAACCTTTTTGAATGTGGGGCCGGATCATGAACTTTTTATCACCTAGTGGGCTGGCAAGCCATATTCAAAGACCTCACAGGAAGCGGTATCACATCAGGAAGTGATGTCACGTGACCTTTGACACCAATGAAGTTGCAGGAAGTGACAATGAAATGGGTCTAACCAGTTCAAAACTCTCCCTCTATAGCATCCACCTCTGCCACTGTTTGGGACAGGATACTGAGCTAGATGGACCATTGGGCTGGCCAAGCATGGCACTTTTTATGCTCTTCTGTTCTTTGGCTGAGCTTCCAAACTATGGCTGAGATTTGTAAAAAGGGGTAACAAAGTTATCATAAAAGATTTGAAGCCTTCTAAATCCCATTCATTTTAATGGAAGTTGGCCTTTTGATTCAGCTTTGAAAATCTCAGCCCAAGGTGCCAACCAAATAAGTCAAAATATATTTTGCATTTCTATGCAGTGCATCTATGTGGGGCTCTCCAAGCATTTTACAAACATTAAATGAACCTCAGGATATCCCTGTTTTTCAGAAGAAATCTGATGGTGAGGACATTCTGGGAACATCTCTCACTCTCTGTGTGTGATCTGCTTCTACTGTCCTTGGACCACCCTAGAAGGGCCCTCACTACCTCATTTCCAGTTCAAAGCAGGTAAAAGTGTAAGTGGGTAGGAAGGGTTTATATTTTGGCAGCAGGTTTGAGTGGCTTGAAGCTAGTGAAGATGTACCCACAATTAGTCACTGACCAGAGTGGGAACACAGTTGTCCTCACTTATTAACATGGCTCCAAGGCCCGGCACTGTTTGTGCCTACATGTTGCTGTCATGTCCTCTTGCTTTCCTAAATCTCATAAGAGTAGAGGATTCCCATCATGCCTCCTGGACTGCCGTCACCCAATAGCTGTCCTGGTTCTAAGGTTGTGCTTCTGACTCTTTCATGGCCTCTTTTAGGGTGCACACTTAGAACTCTGCCTTTTCCTTCCCACCCATTTTGCTGAATTGTGATTATTCCTATGCGGCATGAATTTAGTTCAGTGGCTATGATTCTGCTTTCTCATACAGAGGTAATGACTCTCACAAAGTATGGCATATTTTAGTAGGATAAAAACATTTTGAAGGCCATACAGAAAACAATAAGCAGTTTTTACTCACATGAGCTTACCAGGTATCAACCACCTGCTACTTGGGTTCCTGGCAGATACAGACACAAGTTTATTAGCACATTGTTCCAGAGTGAGTCTCTGTGCCATTGCCTACATCAAGTCTCAGATCTAGGGAGCCTGACCCCTCCCCAGCCATAGGCTGGTCATGTTATCCCAATCTGCTGGCC